AGCGAAAGGTTTATATTAACATCAACATGGTAGTACATACATAGCACATAAAGTATTTCGTTGGACCATTAGTATAGCTAGCGTTGCGGTCCTCCTGCGAAACTAGCTTGGCGAAGACACTAGCGACAGTGCCACCCCGTGCCAAGGCCCAATGGTCGACACATATAGTATGGTCTACGACTCTACTCTACTGCAGGCCAACGAAGTGTTTAGTTGTTTACCTAATTTTTTTTGACATATACGGATACATATTTAAAGTATTAAACGTAGACTAATAACAAAACAAAAGCAAAATTGGTTATATAGCATCGAAAGTTCACGTTTTTGGTTTTATAGCACCGAAAGTTACCGGTTCACTTTAATAGCATCCAAAGTTCACCCTGTTCCTATTTTTAGCACTTCCGTCAATTTTTCCGTATGTCTTGATCGTTATTGATCCAGCCACACACATGATATGATATTTCTACCCCTCATTGACATGCATTATACTTGTACTTGTGAGGGGTAGAAACGTCATATCGTGTGTGTGGCTGGATCAAGACGGACGGAAAACAATCGAGAATTGACGGAAGTGTTAAAAATGGAAACATGGTGAACTTTGAGTGCTACTAAAGTGAACCGGTAGTATTCGGTGCTATAAAACCAAAAACGTGAACTTTCGATGCTATATAACCAATTTTGCTAACAAAACAAATTATAGATTTTGCCTGTAAACTACAAGACGAATCTATTAAGTCTAATTAATTCATCATTAACAAATGTTTGCTGTAGCACCATATTGTCAAATCATGATGTAATTAGGTTTAAAAGATTTGTCTCGTAATTCACATACAAACTGTATAATTGGTTTTTTTTTGTCCACATTTAATACTCTACGTATGTATGTAGATATGACGGAATTTTTGAAAGTTGGAAGGGAACTAGACACTGCCGTGATCTGACAGAGTTACACAGAAGCATGTCAATGTCGTCGCCATTTATCGCCACTGATCAGAGAGGCTTCAATTTATCGCTGACACGGATGTGGCTAAAAAAAAAAACTGATAGCAATCCACTGCGGTAGTCAACCAACGAAGGGTCGGGGAATCGGTGATCGGGGATCGGTCACGGTCACACCCTCCAGCTTCTGCGCTGGAGGAAACCAACAAATAAACGGATGAACCACCCCGTGTCTCCTCTCCGCGCCGCAAGCGGGACAACCGGCGGCGACGGAGCCAACCAGGCAAAACCACACACAACTAGCCGGATTTACAAAAATATACTGTTTGTGGATTTGTTTTGTAAAAATATACCGGATGAAGAATGATTTGCACAAATATACTATCAGTATCGTGGCTTGAAAGAGCGATACCGAGTTTCGCGACAACAAATGCGATACCGCCACTATCAACTCGTGAGGGTGCATTTGAGCTGGCGGTGTCACTTGTAGAAACAACGAGACCGCCACATGAAGGAACCGACCCGTTGTTGCGTCGGTATCGTGGTGTGCAAGCGCGAGAGCGAAATCGGTCTCGTAATCCCAACGCGCGAGACCGAGCACGTCGTGGGACCCACATTGGCGAAACGACCGGGCACGAGTGGACCGCCGGTCTCGCACACGCAAAGATATCGGTCTCGCTGTCCCAATGCACGAGACCGACACGCGGTATCGCTCTAGCAAAGCGAGAGAGCGCTTTGTTATCGCTCAATCAAAAATCGATACCGGCTATACCGGCGAATACGTGCATATCGTTAGTGAATACGGCCGCTGAATCGTGTCCATGCAGGCCACAAGTGAACATGCCGTATATACGAATATGCATACACATATATATAGCCCTCAAAGATCATCTTCTTGTTGGCTCATGCATGTATACGCATATACATTAGCCAAGCATGCATGTATATATGGCTGAACACACATATAGATGGACATATGCCAGTACGTGTATGGCTCATGCATTCCATTAGCAGGTGGGACGCGCTCTCGCGCTGTCAAAGAGACTGCTTGGGGCCCTGCCGGTCTGGGTTCGCGTCAGACGGCCGCGAAATTGCTCTACGATCGTGCGAGACCGAGTCGTTCTCGAGCTTTTGGAATGCGAGACTGATGCATTAGCGCTCCCGCGGTTTCAATTAGCAATAGCGTTGGCGCCTTCGCTAATCCATGATGCGATATCGCGCTCTCGCTTAATCAAAGTGCGACGACGGTATATTTTCGCAAATCTTCCCCTATTTAGTATATTCTTGCAATTTCGGTAAAAAAATTGTATATTTTCAATTTTTTTCTCTACTAGCAATGATGTCCATGCGTTGCAACGAGTAAAGGTAGTTTTAATCATGTATACTGGTGGGAAAAAAATATAAAGGAATAATAATAATAATAATAATAATAATAATAATAATAATAATAATAATAATAATAATAATAATAATAATAATAATAATAATAATAATAATAATAATAATAATAATAATAATGAAATAAAATTGCAGTGACCTTTGGTCAATCAAAAAGATAAAAATATATAATTAATTTTCCATTAATTCCATTAGCTAAAAATAATATAATACGAAGTAGGAAAGTTATTCTCAAATTTTAGCAATTTTCAAAAAGCTTAAATAGAGCAAACTAATTATATAAATGAAAACAAATTTAATCACCTAAATAAAACAATTAGACCTGTAATTGAAAATCTGTTGTCAGTTCAGTTAAACATGAGCCTGTGGGTGTGTGTGGGGTATATATCTCTCACTTATATGTCGTGGTCTTTTTTTGACATAGAAAAAATACCCGTGCGTTGCGACGGGTAATTAAAATTATAACAAATATAAAAATATTATATGATTAAGGTTTAGTTTTACATGTTATGAGCTCTTTAAGAAAATATATTTATAATGAAATAAAAAAGTTCAGCTGAAGTGACATAAAGTGAACTTGTTCCGTACGGAGGGTACACATGGTCAATAAGGCGGCCCAATAGCGTGGGCGGCCTAGGAATAGAATCGGGGAGGAACAACTTAAGCGACCTAAAGTGAACTTATTCCGTGTGGGCGGCCTGGAAATGGCGTTCGGCCTGACGCGGGAGAAGCCAGAGCCGTCCGATCTGATAGACGGTCATTCCGACTTATATAAAAGTTCAACAGCCCAAACCCTAACCCTAAAATCATTTCCCCTCCTCCCCTCTCTCTCAAAACAATGTGGCAGCGGCCCGACATACCGACATCCCTGCGACGGCGGTGGCGGTTCAGAAGCGACGGCGACACCCTCCCCTTCCGGCGTCGGCGTTTTCTTAGTGTTCTTGAATCTTATCTAGTATTCTTGTAGTAGTGTTTTCTTTAGAATTTAGGTCCAAATTTGATGCGGTCTCTCATTTTTTTTCTTTCCTTTCTTTTTTTATCTTTTGCCATCGGAGGGGTATTAAAGCGGGATCGATCGCACGTGCGATGGCATTTCTATAACCCATAAGCCATACAAATTTTCTTAATTAGGTATATATAGATATTGAATCGGACTTTCCTTTTTTTTCTTTTTTTCGCCATTTTTTCATTACTACGGATGTCAGAAACATCTTTAATTTTTTTTACCACGTCACATATAATCAGATTCGATTTTTTTCGCCGATTTCTTTTTTACGCTTTTTTTTGCGGATGGACGACGGAAACACTTTTTAATTTTTAAGTAGTAGACATAGAGATAGAGATAGAGAAAGAGAAACGGAAAACTTTTTTCGCAACTTTTTTTTTTTGGAATCGGACAGAAAAAAATTTTACGCTTGTTTTTTACCGCGTCGATGGAATCGGATTCGATTTGTTTTTTTTTACCACGCCGTGTCACATATAATAGGATTCGATTTTCTTTGGAATCGGACATATACTTTTTTTCTTTTTGCCCTTTTCTTTACCGCGTCGACAGAGTCGGATTCGTTTAATTTTTTTTCCTTTTTTCGCCCTTTTTTACCGTGTAGACCGAGTCAGATTAGTTTCTTTTTTTTCTTTATTTCGCCCCTACTTTTTTGGATCGGACTTATTTTTTTCTTTTTTTCCTGTTTTTTTCCCCTTTTTTCGCCCGTTTGATCGGACTTTGTTTTTTTTTACACGGTTTTTTTCGTCCGCGGATTTTTTTTTCCGTCCGTTTTTTTATCGGACATAGTTTTTTTTGCACGGTTTTTTTCCCACGGTTTTTTTACGGACGATGGACCATCATCTCTTATTTTTATTTTTTATTATATAAGTAGTAGAGACGTACGTGTGCCAACGACTGCGAGCGCGTCAAGCCGTCGTCAAGCACGGCTGCGTGAGCGCGCGGCCACAAACGCGATGGCCGAGGGACGTGTGCACTGCAGTGCGCTGCCCCGGGTGTACAGGTGCGTGTGGACGGTTTATATATAGATTATGTAAAATTTTAACCATGCCATTATATACGTCTTCAATACAGTTAGACCACATAGTGGTAATGAAAAGGATTAAAATCAAATGCAGTTTGCTATTGTAACTGTCTAATAGCAACTGCACATAAGTTTAGGCTATCTGTTTTTTATCCAACAGTTAGAGTGAGTGCTACAGTACCAATATAATAGTAAATCTCTGTTACAGTATTTTTGTTATAATACCGCTATGTACCCTAGCCTTTATTTTATTCTAGATCAAGATGCACATATATAACTGCTTAAGTTGCAGTTCTAATATATAACAACCACTGCACAATATCCTGATCCAAATGAAAGCGATACAGATATCATACGTACGGTACCTCATCAACACCGTACAGTATACTAAGAACTAACACCTTCATATTTTAATGTATAACACCGTTGACTTTTTTCCAACATTTGACCCTTCGTCTTATTCAAAAAATTTATGTAATTATTATTTATTTTACTGTAACTTGATTTATCGTCAAATGTTCTTTAAGCATGACATAAATATTTTTATATTTGTATAAAAAATTTGAATAAAACGAATGGTCAAACGTTGGTCGAAAAGTCAACGGCGTCATACATTAAAATACGGAGGGAGTAGTATGCATGAACATGAGGATGTGATTGAAGCTATCTTCCGAAACAAATATTTTTCTGGACCAGCGAGCATATAATAAATAAAATTTCACGAGGATCGTATTGTAGTTCTGCACTTCTGCTTCTGCTTCTTGCATTTCAAATTCATCTAACGTACGTGTGCCGCTCTCGACGCTAGCCACCGATAGCTTTCTGGAGAGCTTCGCTGATCATCCCAGGTGCCACTGAACCAGAACAAGCAAACTGCAACAACATACGAACAGATCACCATAACTCCATACGGCAAAAAAACATATAAGCATCGTTCAGTACTGCAATTCTACGGCGCGATAGACCTTACCTTAGCTTGTATCTTCAGTCCAAGAAGACCATCCGGTGCCGACGCCTGCACGGAGAGAACGTCAAGACAGAGGCTCTTGATCGCGTCGAACACTCGTGTCATCACCAACTCCTTCCATCGGCACTGCACCTCCAGGAGAACCACCTTGTCCGTGACGGTGACATTCACGTGGTGGTGTTCTCTCCCTGCATCGCCGCCGCCGCTGACACCGATCTCAGAGACCAGCTCCTTCCCGGTGATCTCACAGCGCCTTTGCTGTCCTGTTTCGGTTGCGCGCTGATGTGATGGCTCGCTGCTGGACTCCAACTCTTTCACCCTTTTCTCCAACACTTTGAGGTAGGCAATCGTTTCTTCAAGGATGGATGCTTTGTCCACCTGTAGTGACAAATCATCTCGATGAATAATTCATATAACTTTCAGTATAATATAGAACCGTTGGAACACTAGATTAATTAATTAACCTTGTGGATGGAGGGGACTATTGACTTCAGAATCAGGAACATCTCATTGAGCTTCTCTCGGCGCCTTCTCTCTGATATGACATGGTTCTTGATGCCACTCTCTTGAGTTAGCGCTGCTCTACTACCACGACCAGTGCTCATCCGTGCACCACAGTCCACAACTTTCTTCAGCAACTTCTGTGACTCTATACCGGTGACGACCGGCACAGCCATCTCGTTTGACTTCGCGCTCTTCCAAGCCATGAAGCACGACACTTGAGAATTCGCAACACCGTCGACATCATTAGCCGCCGCCGCCGCCGCCACCGCCTCCGTTGACGACGCCGGGACCAGTTGAAAAGAGCTGGGGTTCACAGGCCAGCCATTATCCTCGAGAAAGCGCACGGTGTCCAGGTCCAGGTCCATGTCCAGGTCCAGGTCCTCGTAGATGCTGTAGAGCTCGTCGATCTCCATGGTGATTGGATCGCGGTTGGCGTTGGACACGCACTCATCAGAGACAACCATCTGCCCCTCTTCGATGGCGTTGTGAGTGATGAGGCCTTCGGACACGATGTCGGCATCTTCCGTTTCGTTCGGAGAAGGGCTAGTGCTCATTAGTACCTCTAAGCATATCGGAAACTGAAGCTCCTGGAAATATGCAACGATTCGGTTTACCAACTTTGGGTCCTCCAAAACCTGGGAATTCAATAGCACTCCACATATAATTAGTTGTGAAGAGCTGACTTATACTGAGTGGAACAGCAAAAACTACATCTTCGAATGTTGCACCCTCTAGTTTTCATAAACATAACATTTAGTGGAATATGTCTACCTTTGCTTGTAGCTCAAATGAGAAACTATTCTAAACTATCGAGGGGACATCCTCTCATTATTTTCATATTATTAAAATGGTTATAGAAAAAATTAAAAATTTTAAAAATAGATTAATATGTGATAAATCACTTCATAAACATGTAATGTTAAATACAACTTCTACATGTTGCAATGAGAAAAACAAATTTAACAGTGAATATACGTTAACTAGCCATAGTTTAATTTGTTCTTTTTGCAACTCACAGAAATTGAATTAGTTTACATGTTTATGGAGTGATCTATGACATATTAATATATCTTGTTGTTTTTTTTAAAAAAATCTCATAACCATTTTGATGACATGCAAATAACAAGAGGATGTCCCCTCGAGAATTTAGAATCCCCTCCTGTAGCTCAATAGTTTGCAAAATGTTATTCTGTTCATTAAAGGTATGTTCTCTTGTCTTACATGTAGTGGTAAAGCAAGTATCTAATTATTATGGAGACCAACCTGACAAGTGATGTCAATCATAAAAAATACAGTGTAACAAATATACACAAATTTCAACATTTCCCACAGGTAATTTATCGTATGAACTTAAAAAATCACATATAGTAGAAAAAGAAAGGCATCATAAGCGGTGGTAATATCATAGAGCTAAAACTGTAAATTACCAGGCAAACAATACGGGAAAAAAACCTATATCTTAGCAAAATAAGCAACAAACTATTATCTTCTGCAAGTATTAATTAGCTAATATTTTAGGAATATAAATTAAAATGGAGAGGTAAATTATGTTAGCTACCTACCTAATTGTAACATTTCAGGGAGAGAACGCGGGGGAGGGGGGGGGGTGGTTTGTTGTTATTGGGCTATTGGAAAAGAGAAATTTTACAGTCCTTAAAAGGCTAAAAAATTCTAGTGCAAATTTTCATACCTCCTAATACTGAGAGTACCAAATTTTACACTACAAAATATGGACCTCCAGTACCTTTTTAAAAATTGTAAAATCATTCATTGAGAAAGGCCAGGACCCCTTCAGCCCTAATAGCTGCGCTTTCTTACATGTTATTGAAATAGTTATAAACAAATTGTGAAAAACAAATATGATAATAAGGGTATATCTGTATATGCACTTGCATTATAAATTGTCTTTCCTACCTGTTCCATGTTGTGGCAGGCATATGCTATAATGAAAGTCTAAAACATGATGTAACATACCGAGAGACTACCGCTCGGACGTCCGATGCAACGCAAAATATCGGACGCTATCAGAGTACTATATCAGCAAGCTGACCACATAACTGCTACCTGATGATACTATATGCATGTATTGATTAACATATATTAGTAACCTTTGAGATGATTTATTTTCCAAACCATTTATCTTATTGTCATTTTGATCATATGGTTGTATTCCTTATAATTAAACCTTTACAACAAGATCTCATACGGTTATATTTTGATTGAAAAATTATATATGTTTCAATCATTAAGATTTAATGTTTCACGTGTTAGAAATAAATGTTTCATATATAATTTGATTATGTTGCACATTTTAAGCTTTTTATCCGAATGATGTTTTACCGTTGTACACGGGATCAATAAATATATTATGATGTTTCATTACTTATTTGTGAATGTTGCACATCATATTATTTGAATGTTTCATCAAGTATATTATTATGTGCAACTGTCATAAAGAAATAGTAAACATAAGAAAATATCTATTAAAACATCTAAATAATACTATGAGCAACATTTTGTTGCAACAGTAAACTTAAAATTTATTACAAAGTGAAATTCCAGTTGAAACACTATTTCTCACACATGAAAAATCCATTTACACCTAATGAAAAACACACATATATATTTTTTCATTAGAAATATAATCATATGAGATCTTATTACAGTGATCTTGCTAGAACATGGAAAAACACCAAGTGCAACATTACAAATAACTATGTGAAACATCAACCAATATTTATTGAAACATTCCATTAACACTGTGCAACACTAAAAAGAGTCAGAAAAAAAGTCATCGGAATACAATGATGTGAGATCTTGTTCCGAAGATTTAATTATAATGAATCAAATTATATAATTTATTCATAGTTTGGATAAATAGTTGGAGGAAAAAAAACGTTTGAATTCTCAATCATTATGAATAGTTTTCCTAAATCTGACTGTATGCACCTATCCCAAGTGATGTGAACGTCCGATTTTTGCCTTCCGCCCGGACGGCTGATTTGAAGCATTTTCCATGGAATCTCGGGTGTTACGGAATAGTGCTTTACTGTGCTAGACTCAAAATGTGAGATGGTAATAACATAAAAAGAATGTGGGATATAAAAAGAAGCTTAGCATCAATAATATTTAGGAAAGACGCAACTATATCATATTTATAATTTTAGGAAATGGTGACTTGGTGAGTACGAAGAATCACACCCTGCCGCCCAATGGCTTTGTCGCTCCTTGCCAGTTGAGCAAAACGAACCCCGGACATGCTATAACATATTGAGCACGTGATATTCTCTCATATATACACCTTAGTTTATTAATATATAGGATATTGTTGATTTTTAAAATAATATTTGATCATTTATCTTATTTAAAAGATTAATGTAAATATGCTTAAAGTATATATCATACTTAAAAATTCTTTAATGATTAAACATGTTATAGCAAAAATAAATAATCGTTATATAATTTTTTTATAAGATGAATAATCAAATGGAGTAATACATACTTCCTCTATCCTAGAAAAAATATCGTAAACGCATTCCAGAAAAAATGCCCTTCTAAGGATGAATTCTAAGGATGAATATGGATAAGTGTTTGTTAAGATATATATATTATATATATTTTTAAAATGTGTTAAGATTCATTCTCAAAAGTGTTTTTTAGATGGAGGAATTATGTTGTTCTATATCACTGGACGATTGAGCTAGCTATAGCTCCATGCATAGTTGTTCGTGCTGAACAATCGATGAGCTTACCGGATCAGTGGTCCCCAGCTCAAGCACGCCACTCGTGAAGGGGATGCAGATGATTGTCTGTAAGATGTATAGATATTTAGATGGAGTCAGAGATATCGATCGACGTACACGTACATATCAATTTGAAAGCTAAAATACTTCCTCCTTCTAAAAGTTTAAATCCTATTTCTTTTTCATTAAGACTAATGTATAGTTAACTCTTTCACTATGTGATAAAACTAATAAATATGCAACCAATAAGTACTAAAATGATTTTTTGGGTTTCGATAAAAAAATTAATATAGCACATAGTGACTACAAATAGAACTTAGACTTTTAAAAAAAACCAAAGAATGAAATATGACTTAGACTTTTGGAAGGAGGGAGTACTATGTACAACTCTACCTACATATATACCTGAATAGACGCGCTCTGCAGCATTCGACGACATTATATTGGTGCATGCATGGAGAGCGTGCGATCGAGTCAGATCATGACATTATATATGGAGTAAATAATTAAATATGATGATTATATGGAGGATATATAATGCATGAACATTATCTTTGTTTGAAGGCATCATGGTTGACATGCCATGATCGAGCAGCACAGCATGGAAATATATAGGTACCTTAGCTAATAGCGAGCGTAGAAATGTTTTGCTATCTGCAGACTGAGCATTGCGCAGCCAAACAGATGCATTGCTTGCATAGCTTTTGCCTGGCAGCCTGCAGACAGAATGTACCCCAGCAGATCAATAACAACACTACAGTACAGCAATGTATATCTTGTTATTAAGATGTCATGAGAGACATTTCCAGGCTGGTTTACCCAGCTTTTGTTTTCTCCTATTATTGGAGTTGCTATCAAGCTAGCAGATCAACCGACAAGTTTGATCAGTCATGTGTATAGGCACAGATCGATCAACAGATCATCTCGTATGTGTGTATTGGCATCAAGCTAGCAGATGAAATACTCACCCTTGGCCGGGTTGGAAGGAGTAGGTCATGCAGACGACGTAGTACCATTCTGTGTCTGCGAGATCTTCCGGCGATAGCGCGGCAATGGGCCTCCTCGCCCGGTGGTCGCACTCGCCGGACAGGAGAGAGTAGTAAAGCTCCCTCAGTTGCTCGCTTCTCTGCACGACGAGCTGACCAGCCGTGAGGTCTGCTGAGTTGGATATCTTCCTCGTCTTTACCACGCCGTTGTAGAACCCATCATTCCAAGTCAAAACTCTACAGGTAATATTTTTTAGGTATTATATAATTTAGTATATAAATACTGGGAGATAATATCTAACGGAACGTATATTATGTAAGTAAGGGAATATCAGGTAAATAAAATCAAATAAGTGAAAAAAGGGTAAAAATCGGATTAAAAGTTTTCTAAATTCATAAAACAAATTACTTAAAAATTCAGTGGCAATTAATATAGTTCATGCCTACATCCGTCTCTATTTTTTTAGATGAATTTAGAAAGCTCATAGGTCCAGTTTTTATCGGTTTTTATTTATTTGATGGTTTTCATTGGATATTTCCCCATATAGGTAATAGATTAAGTCCTTGATGAGCTGGCTAGTGCACAATGGTTTACTAAGCTTGATCCCAGGTATGGTTATCACCAGATCAGGTTGTTAAACCAAGATGAGCACAAAACAACTTTTAAAAGACGCCAAGGCCTTTATGAATTTAGGGTGAAGCCATTTGGCCTGACTAATGCTTCAACCACTTTGCAGGGCCTCATGAATACTATCTTTACTACCCTAATAGGAAAATGTGTGCTTCTATCTATTTGTGGATGACATATTCAATTACAGCGAAAACCTTGAGGAGCACGTGCAACACCTAAAGGAAGTTTTTGCTATCTTATAGCAGTACAAACTGTTTAACAAGGCATATAATTGGTGTCAATGCAGTGGCTATAGATCCATAGAAAATCAAGGTTGTGCAAAATTCGTCAGTGCCAACAACCTCAAACAACTAAGTGGATTCTAAGGGTTGGTTGCTTACTACATAAAGTTCATGAAAAACTACGGAGTGGTCATCAAACCCTTGACAGAGTTGGTCAAAAAAGATGTTAAGTATAAATGGATTGAATCATTGCAACAAACTTTTAATTACGTTAAGTTGGCTTTGGTACAAGCACCAATTCTAGGATTGCCAGATTTCTTTCATGAGTCCATTGTGAAGACAGATGCCTATGATAAGGTATTGTTGTTATGTTGCTTTAGAATGAGCATCCACTTCCATACATTAGCATGCAAGGCTCTGGGTGTTAAGGCTCTAGCACCACCCATTTATTACAAGGAACATTTGGCCATTTAGCTAGCAGTAAACAAATGAAGGAACAGTAATGGACTAGAGGGGGGAGCGTCACGCAAGGGGAGGGGCGCATGCCTAGTCACCGATTAGGGTCCCCTGTTGGGCAGTGCCAGCCAGGGAGGCAAAGTGCTGACAAGGCATGCAGGTTGTAGATTGGACCATCGGAGGCAGGCGGACTTCAGTTGAAGGTTGGGTGCTTCTTGTAAAATCAAAAACACGGCGGTCAGATCGGCGGCATCGCGGCGGTCATACCGGTGGGCACACGACGGTCAAACCAGCGTCGGCAACAGGAGGCAGCGACAAGTTTTGGCGGTTAGACCGGAATATCAACACTGGTCAGACCGGCGGCTACGCTTCGGTCAGACTGGCTAGTCTACTCCGGTCAGACCGATCGGTTTTCGGTTTTTGGGTATACCAATCATTCACCCCCCTCTGGTTGGCTTAGTTGTTGTGATTCGATCCTACACTTCTCTCATTTGTAATTGTGAATTTGTGATCCTTTGCCGTTTTTTATTTCGAGATTTGATAACTGAGAAGCTGATAGAAGAGGAAAGGGAAAGGCTCAAGGACATTGGGAATTTTGTCGATTTAGCATCAAATTGAATAATTGATCAACATTCGTCATTGCTTCCTGTTTTGTTGAATTATTTTTTCATTCGTACTTTTATGTGCTTTTGCCAATGAATCGTGGTTGTTGCCCTGTCGAATTTTGACCTTCTTGTGTTCCAATAATATCATGCAATTGAGAATATGTTGTTTTTCTCTTTGTTCTTCTTGAGTAATCACTCTAGCACTTGTCTATGGTCCGTACTTTTTTTCTCCTTACCTGCGCCACTGGTCTACAACTAGTTACTACCTTCCTTCATAAATATAAGGGATTATAATATTTTTAAGTAAAGAATTAAGGAAATAACAAAATGTCACGTCATAGTGGTATACGGGAGAATAAAGTAGTACTCCTTCCATCCCAGCTTAAAATTTTTGAGGTCTTCCCAAAATGATCATCATCTAACAAGTGTCTTTTCGTTTATTTATGCAAATAGTTTTTTATGAAATGAACTTATGCAAACAGTAAATGCACATCATTAAATGTGTTGTATGCAACCAACCAAGATTAATTTATATTGGTGCAATGACATGTAATATTTAAAACATGGGAATCCACGGGACATGAAGCGATGAAACACCTTAACTGTAATTAACTGTAATGATTAATTTGAGAATGATGCATATTTTGATGTCCTTAGTTTTGGTGCTTTTTGCTTAGGGAATGATTAAATTGGGATTGAGGGAGTACATATAAACTATGGTAGGTGAGGAACAAATTAGTACAAAAGTTGATAGGTATGAAATAAAATAGTACAAAATTATGTCTCAGGATAACAAATCTTTTATATTTATGGATAAATTAAAATACCATAATCTTTTATATTTGTGAACAATATCACCAAGCAACTGCATTCGTATTGAACTAATTATTACCCTGGGCAACTGGTTGAAATGGACCAAAAGATCGCATAACTCCAACTGATGCTCCTCACAGCAGCAGCAAGCAGGCTCCTGAAGTGGTTCGTCCCTGGCTGTAGGGGTTCTTCCTGAACTGGAGGAGCAGATGCCATCACCACACAAGTCTAGAAACCTATCTAGCTGTTTAATTTCCTGCATAGGTGTGCGCAAAATCAAGGAAAGAATCAGACAAGCAGATAAAGCTGACAAGCATATGGTAATGACACTGTCATCAGTACGGAGGGGCGAATGCAGGCCTAGGGCACAGCCATCACCACACTAGAAGTAGAAACTTATAGTAGCTGTTTAATGTCCTGTATATAATGCATCTGTCCCAAAATAAGTGTTTATACATATACTTATCAATTAAAATTTGAATTTTCAACCTTAAATTTAGAGTTAATTTCAGGATTTTTCATATCGAAGTTTATTTTTCAGCCTTTGCTTTTAGGCTAAGAATACGTATATAAAAATTTATTCACAAATTATTTTTCGTTTGTGAGATGGGCGTATGTATGTGCAAAATAAGGAAAGAAGATGACAAACATATGGTGATGATACTGTCATGTACGCAGGGGCTTATGCAGGTCTAAAGTAGTCTTATCTCTAAAATTAAGTTTATATCTCTTTAAATCATAATGTAAATTTTAGATAAAATCTAACAACCCATCAATTGAGATATAGTTTAGCTCTAACCTTCAGTAAATTTTGGCTCTGCCACTGTCAGTACGTACAAGCAAAAGAAGCGTAGAATGAAGGAGGTTACGAATTAATTCACAAGTTACAGTCATATATATCAAGCGTAGTATATGGTTATCCCTAATTGTTTCGTATAGCTAGCTAGCTAGCTTAGGCTAGCGGTAAGCTCTACATGTAATTAATTAATCAAGTACCTTATAATCTGTAGTTTTGCACTAAAGCTGATCTACAAAACATGGCGAGACCGCGAGATAGCCTGTAAGTTAGCTGGTAGACTGCTATGCTAGCTTGCTGTTCGATCTCTTGTTGATCACGAAGAACAAGAACAAGCTGCTGAAGGTACTGGAATGGACAAATTAAAGAAATAACCTGCAATTTAAGATAACCCATGCATATAGACGGAGAAAAACAAAGGGAAAATTAACGCTAGCTTACTCTTTCCAGTCTGCCCACCAATGCAAGAAGGACTCCAGCTAGCTAGCTGGCTGCTCTAGCTGCCAACTATCCAAGTTCACTCTTCTGCAACCCGCCGTTCTTCCAGAGGGAGGAGCTATATATAATCGAAATATATAGTTTATATATATGCTGTTTATATATAATAGTTCCTTTTTCTTTTCTCTTTTGCGATCACACACGGAGGAGGGCGTACGCATATATGCACAAGCCACTACATGCACCCCTGAATATGTACACCTATAGAGAAGGGATGCACTAAAATCATATATTGACAGTGCACCATGTATATGCTTATGTGCACTAAAATTTACTGTAAATCTTTGGTGGATAGAATCATATATATACACTACGAATTCGTTACCGTACTACGCATTACTTGTTGGTAACACATGCATTCGTAATTAACAAAAAGTTGTATTAGGGTAATAAGTATTTTTTTTATTTTTAGTTTTATATTTTTAGATTTACAGCATTATTAATTTTATAATTTTAAATTTTAGAACAGTACGTGCGTTAATTCATGCAAAAAGTAATCTTTTTCCCACGAGTACACAACACAACACACGGTGTAAAAATCCTTCCACCCCCACCCCATCATACTGAGGCGTTATTGACTGTATACAACACCTTATGCGTGTTCTAATAGTTCTAATTTTTTAAATTAACAAATATAAGTTTTTATGTTTTTTAAAGAATGTTTTACCGTTCTAGACACTCATTCTAATCAGTATTCTCTCTATCCCAAAATTTAAGCTGCATTTTATTTTAACACTCTCTTTAACGTATACTTTAAGTATTAATTTCTTTTGTACTATATTATTAGCAACTACTCATATGAAAGTATTTTTAAGAGTAAATTTTATAAAACCACATGTACTATGGTCCAAGTTAATTATATAAAATTACAGGGCTTTTAGCACGTGATACATAACCCTATGTAGTATCATGTTGAAATAGTTCTATAAAGGGAAGTGCTTCAATGCTCATCGAATAGAAACCTGCACAGAAATTAAAGCGCATCAATGGTGGGATAAAAGTGGACTAAGAGCATGCCAACAAATACCCAAAAATCTATTCTAAAATTATGTTTTTGAAATTCCTAATTAAAATTTAAGGTGTAAATAAATTTTTGTCTTCAAGAGATACTTTAAATCAACTTCCAATAATAAAAGGTGGACCCACTGGCCGTAACTACCAACTGATACATGAACATAAATTGTTTTACCCCATCCCTCCCCATGCGTGAGCTCTCCTCACGTATCGCCTTCTAGAAATTGGGAGCGAGAAAGCGTCTCCCAACTTGTGAAGAGCAAGAAAGGAGGATAAGGGAATTCTAATTTTTAGATACAATTTTAGAGAAACTGTTGGAGCAAGTTTTTCACAAAAGAAACCCTAATTTTAAAATTGGGTTTCATTTAGGGATATATACGTTGGCCATTCTCCAACAGAGTAATATCCAATTCCCCATTAGCCAGGGGCATTTTCAACCATAAAAACTTGAACCCTTACGATTCAAGGCAGCAGACCGACAATTCGCTCGCAGCGCCACCCCCTTCCTCTGATGAGCAGCGCCACTGCCCCTTACTCCAGTCTCCACCTAGCCCCTTCCGCCTCTCTGCTGCCCAAACTCGTTCTGCTTGCCAGCTACCGAGTGTCTCCGCGTTCGAGGCGGCATGGTAGACGGGCCAGATGGTGGTGGTCGTCCATGATGATGGAACAACAATCGGCCGAGTACCCGTATTGTACATGGCAACCTAATTTCATCTAGAGATCCCAACAGTTGTTTTATGTGATCACCAATTAACCACCACTTTACGTCCTTTCAGACCTAAATTTTAACAAATATTAATTTGCATAAGGTAGATAGGGGAGCTTTGGATTGATCGATGGGTTTTGGGTTGCTATACACACTGATATAGAACCGGGAATCGTGAATGGCTCAACAGTGACAACGGCTAACGACCTGGTACATAGGCACTAAGATATGACATGAAAAAAAAATCCCCATTGAAGATTGGGTCTCACGGTCAAACCCATCACTGATGATCCCTCATCTTTGATGAGTAATCTACATCGCCGTCACTGTATAAACTTTTTTTCACCCATTATCTACAATTGGTGACGGAATGGGACCTGACCCATATGAGATTTTCACATCACTGACGACTCATTCATGACGAGGCACCCATCCTTGATCAGACGTCTATTTATTACAAATGAGTGTTACAACTCGTTACGAATGACCTTCATAGTAGTGAAAAGAATGTACTCCGTAAGATGTAACTCTCAAGTTCAATATACTCCCTCTATCCTATAAAAAAATAATCTATGAGGGAATGTGACACAACCTAGTACAATATAAATCTAGATAATTCTCCCTTTAGATTTGTTATACTAGTTATGTCACATTCTTTGTTAGGCTGAGTTTAGTTTCAAAATTTTTCTTCAAATTTTTAACTTTTCCATCATATCAAAACATTCCTACACACACAAACTTTTAACTTTTCCATCACATCATTCAAATTTCAATTAAAATTTTAATTTTGATGTGAAAAACACACCCTAGTCTAATATTATTGGGATGGAGGGGGCAGTTATTGCGGTTTGGTTGTTATTTCAGATTTACTAGCATGTGCTATTCTGCTGTCCAGCAGTGCCTTAAGGTTGTACTCCTAGGTTTGGAGCATACGGAGTACGAGTAGTACATAGCTAATTGATAGCTGTACTGACTCTGCATCGAGAGGAGGCCACGGCCTGGTGCCTAACTGACTAACTGCCTACTCCTACTGCCTCAGAAGAAGCTACAGGAACCGGACTCGTGGTGCCATCAACTAGAAGCTAGGAAGCTTAACGCTTCCTTATATCTTTAACCGTGTAAACCATACTCCGTCGGTGGTTGCTGATTTCACCTAGGGGTGGATAACGAGCCAGTCGGCTCGTTAAGGCTCAACACGTTTCAGATCGTTTTTTTAACACTCGTTTCATTAATCTTAATTAGTTAAAGCCTAGCTTAACTCAGCTTACGAGCTGGCTCGTTAATATAAATTTATTCCACCTTCATATATTTTTTTTCGGGGACCACCCTCATAATTTTAAATTTACTATTTTATCATATACTACCTTTGTTTCAGGTTATAAGACTTTCTAGCATTACCCACATTCATATAGATGTTATCTAGCTGGGTGGCCCGCGCAATTGTGCGGCTAGCATCCAAACAAAATCATATATATTTTTAGGATTTTTTTACTTAAAATTTATTAAATAGCTATCTCATTGTCTTTAAGACTTCGAAAGACCAAATCTTATCATCCCCGTGTTTCTAATTATATAGTTTTTTAAAGTCACACCAGTTGCTACCCCTTATGTCATCTCCTTCTTTATTTACTTGGTCGATCTACCACTATTTCTCTTCATTCTTCTTGTAACCTTTAAAAATTGGATCTTAAAGTTTTATAGTTTATCGTTATGTTGGGTTTCGTTTTTATAATTTCTAGATGTCCCGTCAAACATTGTCATTATATTCCTCTATGACCCGTCCACTGTCTCTTCTCTTTATTGACATTGCGATTTTAAAAATCTAATATAATTATCGTTTGGGTTCATTTTTTACATTCTAGAAGTCCCGCCAAACCGTCAGCGGCTTTACCATTGCACTTCTCTACGGCTCGCCTGCTGCCTCCCTTCTTTATTGTCATTGAGATTTTAAAATTGAACATGATTATCATTGTTTTTTTTACTTTTAGAAGTTCCGAACCTTTAAAAATTAGACCCTATAGTTTTTAAAGTTTATTGTCTTGTTTGGGTTTTATTTTTTATGATTTTTAGAAGTCTCGTCCAACGATGCCACTATGCTCCTTCATGGCCCGTCCGCCGTCTACTCTTTATTGTCATTGTGATTCTAAAAATCGAACATAACTATCGTTGGAATTTTTTTTTTGTCTAGAAGTCCCGTCAACCGTTGGCGGCTCTATAACTATACTCCTATACACCCCGTCCGCTGCTTCTCCTTTTTATTGTTATTTAGATTTTAAAAATCGAATATAATTATCAATGGTTTTTTTTACTTTCTAGAAGTCCCGGCACTGCCTTGCTCGTTTGCTTCATGGTCTGCCTGTCATCCCTCATTTTAATCGTCATTAGGATTCTATTTGGTGTTTTATTAACAGTTTTTATACGTCGTATCAACCTCCACCACTTTACTCCTTTTATAGGTCTATTACTTAATTTATCTCGTCATGTGTTTTAGATGGTATTTTCTTTCAATAGTCTTTATTTTTATCCCAATTTTAGTTATTTATAAATTGTATTCCTAATTGAAATCTTATTTTTTTTCTAATTTCAGAATTTTTATTTCAAATTTAATTAATATCGTATTGTGTTCTTTTAATATTTTTATTTTTTATTTTCAATTTTAGTTGTTTAAGAATTATATTCCTACTTGAACTCTCTTTTAATTTTTCTAATTTTGGATATTATTTTATTTTTTTTTCTAAATTTTAATTAATCTCGTATTGGGTTCTTATATGGATACTTATTTCAATATTGCTTATTTTTAATTTCGAATTTCAGCTAATTTTAAATTGTATTCCTACTTGAACTCTTCTTTTATTTGTTTTGCTAATTTCGAATTTTATTTTTATTTTTATTCTAAATTTTAATTAATCTCGTATTGGGTTCTTATATGGACTCCTCTTTTAATATTCCTTATTTTTAACTCCAAATTTCAGCTATTTTTAAATTGTATTTTTTTGGATTTTATTTTATTTTATTTCGAATTTTGATTAATCTCGTATTGGGTTATTAATGTATACTTCTTTCAATATTGCTTATTTTTAATTCCGAATTTTAAATATTTTTAAATTGTATTTATACTTGGACTCTCCTTTTTTTTTTCTATTTTGGATTTTATTTTATTTTTATTTTGAATTTTGATTAATCTCGTATTGGGTTCTTGTCACTCCCAATCCGGCACCGCCGTACAACGGCACCTGACAGGAGCGTGTCGTAGGAAAAACGGCGCGAACCGCTTCCTACGAAACCGCGATCACAGTACCAGTCCCAGGACATAGTG